AGAGAGACATGCATGGGTGTTAGCATAGCGTATACGTAGTCGTAACTGGAACGCCTCGCAGTACAATGAGATATGCACTGCATGTGTTCCTCAGTTGCGGAACCGAATTAATCATTTCCTGGACACACATGGACAGCGACCCGAAACGTTCTTCCAACATGACGTCAGTAGTCTACTCGTTTGGAAGACAGCGAATAATCAGACAGTGAGCAACGACCGGATCATTTTTTCCCATCCATAATCTCTTTCAGTTTTATTCTCGTCGATGATCACCCGAGCCTGAACCTCCAGTACTCTTTGACAGCAAGAATTCCATGGTCTCGCAGAATTGGAAGGGGTGAGATGGTGTCTCTCTGCTGGCATTATCTGGTAGAGGGACATCCATGAGATATCCACACGTTGGTAGAAGATAATCGTGTTAATAGTAGTGCATAAGTAAAGTATGTACTTCAAAAGCGCTCTACTTCTCAACCTCATATCACACTCTGTGCAGCAAACCTATGAATTTTTTATAGAAGCGTTGATAGTGATCGTTACCTGAAGAGGCGCAAATCTTCAGAGTCTTCCTGAAGAGGAATCATACTCATTTTGTTGATTCTGTAGACGGTCGACTGGATCAATACGGGAAGCAGCAGAATAACGGCAAGAAGCGAGCAGGTGAGCAACACCAACAAGGCCACACAGTTGCTGCGAACTCTTAACATTGAACTAACTGAGTGTGTAACAACAATGTGAAACTCCAAAAGTTTATTCCAAAAAACTCAAAAGACAGTGAAAGTCTCAAAAGTTTGTTATAATATATCTTAACTTGCAATATTTCGGTGCGTAGCACCTTCGTCAGGCCTGAAAATATTTAGCTTGTTTTGTTGGTTATACCTTCTACAAAGTGCAACCCGCACGGACCCCACCCCCACCAAGCCACTTACCAGTTGTCCCGAAATAAATGACCAACCCACCCCAACCATGCCCTTAAATAGTGGGATACTTGTGGCGCGATCACATTATCACTTGCATGATGTCACGTAGCTCCTCCCTGTTGAAATTGAAAAAAATTGAACTAACTATAAAAATGCCACAAATGACGTCATGTATTATAGATTCAACTTCAACACTGCCTAAATATTGCAGCTGTTACTCTTTCGAAAGTCCACTGCTAGAATAGGGAAAAAAGCATCATTTAGGTAATGAGGTCAGAGTTCAGGTAGTCTAGTCTGTCTTCAGTTCACCCGTTTAGGAAGCCGCAACACCAAATGTGATATTTGAATTACCAAAACCAAATTTTTTTCAGAAATTGGTTCGAAAATGTAAGGATGCTTTTTTGACATGTATATAATGTTAACCTAAAATCTTCTCAAGGTAAAGTTACTCTAGGAAAAGCTGAGCGGTCATCAATCATTAGTTTCAGCGCTTTCGGTGCAACTCATGATCGGGTCAGGAACGGGGCCATTGAAAGCGCTTAATTCATTGTAGCTTCAGGTATATACGCGTCGCTAACTTTGCTAAATGCTATCGACACTGCCTTGCCAATGGTACCGCTAGAAATGCCAATATTAGGCTGTTCGGAAAATTACCGGATGAACCCGTTTACTGTCACGTTA